TGACATAAGTGGACTTACGACAGTCTTCCCATTTGCCACAGAAATGTCAGGCTGATGTCAAAACGATATCAGTTTCAGGACCACATTTTTATCAACCTGATGCGAAAACCGACAAATTCGAGGGGGAGGTACCTCCTAAATTGCGTGTACACATATTATGAATTGAAATTGAAGTGGCTTGAATTGGATTTTATTTGGACTGAATCGGTTGAATTGTTTTTGACTTTGATTGAGTTATTGCGATTTTATTTTAATGATGTGACTTGAATTGGCTTGAATTGAATGTAAATTGTCTTGAATTAGACTGAATTGGTTGAATATTTTTGAATTGGCCAGAATTATTTCTGAATAGTGTTGGATGAAATTAAATTGGTTTGAATTAGTTGGAATTGGGCAGAATTAATGGTGTACACTTATGAACACAGTTATCCACCCCTCGGAGAAATTTATCATGTCGGACGTCGTTTCGATATCGGTCTGATATTGCATTGCTCTCTGGGGTACAACTTATTTTCGACCAGGAATCATAATCCTTCCAGTAATCGAGTAGGCTTAGAGAAAAATTGAACTGCAAAGGTTCTTTTCCTCTTCATTTGTTATGTCCCCCCCACCCCCGCCGTGTAAATCACTTGAGAGATCGACCATCGTTTTGGGCCACCTTAAGATCACAGATATACTCATATATACGTACAAACGACCAGCTATCCCTGCAACCGTTGCAATCCAGTGAGCCGTGCCCGAAGGATAGCTCAGCAGCGTCAAAAATACTCCCACCTGAACAGTAATCATTGTTAGCTCTGTCTAAGCTAGAGTTTTGGGCTACGCACCAATTTTGTTCAAAATTGGGACAGGCCCTTTATTATGGCTCTGACAATATGCTGCCAGCGTTAAACAGTACAGTATTATCAAAAGTTTTTTGTGAAGGGATTTTCGCCCCTGCAGAACTATGGTTGCGGGGTCCGATATACCTCCGAAATATTTCGGAAATATTTTCGAAGGGCAGGGGTCGTAGTTTAACAAACATCATTGGTTTGTGAAACAATTAAACAAAGTCGCAAATAAAATTTTAAGTTAGATACGTAACGTAACTGATTAGAAATTTGTTATTTCTATAACGTTGTAGATGTAACCAATTCCTTCAACGTTAAATGCTAGTTTCATTTATTTAGTGACAGGTATCGCAAAGGCACTAAAAACTACATAACCTTTAACACTTATCAAACAAATATTTGTTATTTCCATAACGGTTATTTTTATGTAAAGTTTTATGTTCTTTTCGTATTTGTTAAGTGTCATGCTAGGCGTTACCGGTTATCGGGTCTAACATAAACGATTAATAAAACGTTATAAGGTGCTTATATGATAAGTTACGGACTCCTATACCTAGGGGTCAGGAATATTGGAAATATTGAAATCACCGAAACAGAGAAGTCTGCATCGATATAAAGCGTAAGCCTCTCGTTGAAATCGCGATTTTCCGGGTGTGTCATCCAACCACTTGTTCGTTCCTGGTAGCGGGTCGTTTTTAAAATGCTACCAGCTACCTTTGTACCTGGCAGATCAGAGGAAACGCCGATGCAGGCGGGTTTGCCTACTTTCTGTCCGTACAAGGCGTCATAGCCTCTTGTGGTGGTAAACCCGCATGCACCAGCTTCTTCTCTGAATCACCCGGTACACTCTTAATATAAAGGAACATTCTTGTCCATAATGAGGATTAACTACATCGTTCGACTACCCTTGTCACGCTTCGACCACCGAGACATAGTAACCCAACCAATGTGGCACGAGTCACAGTCGTTCAAATGTAATGTCACAGTGTTTGAATAACACCCGTGTAGACGGGAAACAACTGAAAGTGAACTTTCCGCCGGTGCGCGCATTCTCCAGAACATGCTCATCTTCGCCTGCAACTGGACGATGAAGTCCTGTTCGGTGTGCACGATTGTGCTGCAACGGATAGGTCTGCGACTGTCAGCGAAATTGCTGCCCCCTCAATAAAAGATGCTGCTAGTGGTCGACCAGGGGGTTTTAGCACGCCCTTCTGCTTTGAAAAAGCTATCCAGCGGGCTTATGCAAACGACCTCGTGTCTCTGTCTGTCTGTCTGTCTGTTCCACTAGAAGGAGATGTGCTAGAGACTTGAAATTTTCAGGGTATCTTAAGGTCCACTCCTAGAGAACGAAACGCCTACGGCAAATCCTGGCAACCACTCCCAAGTGTGTGAATGGGGGTTAGGGATGTGCACTTTATGTTTTTCATAACCCGAAATTATGTGCTAAAAAGAGGTAATTGGCTGAGCGATTAGCGAAGCCCATTACTCCACTGACCGGAAAAGTTTCATTCTGTTTGTCTGTTTGTCTGTTTGTCTGTTTGTCTGTTTGTCTGTTTGTCTGTCCGCACGATAACTCGAGAAAGAATTGCGAGAATGATCTGGGAATTTCAGGGTCGTTTTGTATCATAAAAAGACAGATCAAGTTCGAAGATGAGCATTCTAGCTCAAAAATTGACTTTGAAATAAGCAAAAACCTTAGGTCCCCAAAATGCCTTTTCCTTTTTGATTTTTGTTTTTTTTAAACTGTTTTACCATGGGGTAACTCATCACAGCAGAGCCCTTTGGGCGAAAATTTCGTCCGTTTGGCTCTATCTTGTACCGTTTGGGTGCTAGAGGGCATTTCTTGACAAAAATGAGGTGAAAATGACTAAATGGTCTATTAAATCGTAAAAAAACACTTTATTTCGAAAAATTGTGTATACACTGTAAAAAGCTTACGAACTAAATACTTTGCAACGTTACGAACAATTTTCGTTCTTTGTATTGCAAAGAAATTGTTCGTATTGCAGAGCGATTGTTTGCAAGGCTAGACGGGTCTTACGAACAATCGGTTTGCATTACGAACTATTTGTTCGTAAGCTTACGAACAATTAGTTCGTAATACAACGCTTCAAAATCCTTCGTAAGCTACGAACGTTTTGGTTTGCATTACGAACCTATAGTTCGTAAGCAAATTACAGTGTACACTCCTATAAACCCGTCTCGGGTGTTAGCGCCGCAGGCCTAGCTACATGTGCGCCAGGCGCGTCGCAGCGTAACAGTGTTTCGTGAGAAATCGCGAAGCCTGTTACGCGAGACGTGGTCTGGCGTACATTTAGCTAGTTTATGTGGCGTCTCTGAGCGAATTATGCGGCAATTATGCGCTAAAAATTGCGTAAATATGCTCAATTATGCGGCCCAAAAAAAGAAAAATGGTCGTTTTTCTGAATTTTTGCTCGAGCATCGGGCCCGCCCCCCCCCCTCTCCGCTACCCCTCCCTCTTAGAATGCGCGGCAGTCTGTTCAACAAGGCTCCGGTGGCGGCATCGCCGGAAAATTCAAAACGCTTTGTGTCAAAATTGTCCAGAATATCCTCGAAACACGTTAGTTTGGGCTAAATTACATGTCCATTCTGCATTTTTCTGGATATTTTGCCTAGTTATGCGCTATTTATGTGTTTCGTGTGTTATGATGCGATCCACGCCAAATTATG